TTTCTGTCTGGATGGTCACAAGAGACCATCCAGACAGAAAGCCCAATATTTTACTGTTGCCTTTGTTACATTTGTGTTGTATTTGTGCTGATAAATAAATAAAGGCTCAGCTGATAACGAATCAGAGCCTGTGGCTAAGTGGTTAACACATCTGTCTAATATGCAATACAGCCCAGGTTCAAATCCCAGTAAGGATATGGCTAGCTGATGAGAGCTAAATAGCTTGAAATAGATCTATACTAGTCTCCCTTTATTTATTTATCAGCACAAATACAACACAAATGTAAGAAAGGCAACAGTAAAAATATTGGGCTTTCTGTCTGGATGGTCTCTTGTGACCATCCAGACAGAATGGACAGAGAATGGAAGCAATTAGCTTCCTCCCATAATTGGGGCATACCAGGGGTTGTGACACTAAATATATATATTTCTGATCCTGCCTAAAAAGTTGAACATGGGGAAAAAAAGGAAACCCAGAACTGAATATATTGGTGCTTCCCCCCCAGCCCACTTTCCTTCTTTTTCTAACAGATGCAAATGGGAGAAAACGTTACTTGTTTCAAATCTTATGTTTTGCTTCTGTTAATCATGCACAATTGTTTTAACTTCCTGAGGCTCCGCAACGGCATGTCTTCCATAAAGATCTCATGAAACTTAAAAATGCAAACAAGAAAAGATGATGAGGTGGATGATGGCCTATTGTTTTTTCACACAAGAACTTTTTTTTTTTTTTTTGGCTATTAAAACTTCCAAAATGGCATACTGATCCCTTCCCACATTACAAGCTCCTAGTTCTCCGGTGGCTCCTTCCTTGCAGCCAAGAGCAAGAAGACCAAGCAGAAAGTGCCTAGAAGAATCTCCTTTCAAAGATGCACAAAAGAACACCGCCGAAAGCTGAAATTCCTTTTTAAAATGGGTTGTTTTCTGGTTTTTACACAGATCCAACATATTTCTAGATTGGAAAGGGAGGCAGACACAGCACAACAATTAAACCTGTTTTAGCAGCTTTCCACTGGCTGGTTAACATGAATGCCAAGAGATGAGTTCTTTCCTACATGAAGTGCAGTAAGGAAGCCTTTGAACAGCTGGCCAACACTTTTAGGTGGGACACAATAACCCCCCACGCTGGTGCGTGCATGCATGAACTAAAGACATTTCTGACAATGGTCTCCCCTTTGCTTCTATACCCTCGAAGGAGTTGTTACATACTGCTGCCTTTCCACCTCGGATTAGCTTCTGCTACTTCTATCGCCTTTGGAGCCCAACCATCCTCACCACCCAAGACCGAAGAGCTTGTGCCAGCCCTCGGCCGTGCTTCAGTAAAAGCCCTACGTTGTTGACATCACAGATAAAGGGGGCGGACTGCATGCTAAGCAGTGACCCGAACGCCAGGCCAGCTCTCACAAGGACAGAGGACTCTCTGGCTCCCCAATTTTTTCCTTCTCTGGGAGGATCAGCACAAATGGGAGCAGGAGGCCTTTAGCGTCGAAGGGAGTTTTGAGCAGTTCTGTGTCAAAGGTGCCTTTAAGTCCCCCGTCTGCTTCCACCTCGCCGTTCTGAGCCAGGTTGAAGCTCAACATCCCAGTCCGGTTGACGCAATAGATGGTGCTGCCCAAGGCTGCACAGCGGAAAGGTTGGACGGGGCTGCCGGCGGGGCGAAAGGAAGCGCACTGACGCCAGTGCTTGGCCACCGTATTGTACTGGAAGACTTCCACTCCGCCTCCGCCCGGGCCTTGCTCCCCGCGGCTGCTGCTCACGTCGAAGCGGTAAATGAAGCTCTTGTAGGCCACCATGTCAGCCGAGCGACGGCGGCTGCTGTTGTAAGGACACTCCTGCCACTCGTCCCGCTTGGGGTCGTACTTGAGCAGCCGGTAGAAGAGGGAGCCCCCAGACACGTAGATCTCCCCGTTGCAGGTGGTGGCCTCGTGAGCCACGGCAAAGGCCCCCTTGGGCAGAGGGGCCACGGGGCTCCACCGGTCCGACCGGGGGTCGTACTTCTCCACCGTGAAGAGGCATTCCCCGCCCACCGCGTAGAGGTACCCGTCCAGGGCCAGGAGCTTCAGCTGAGAGCGGGCCTGCCCCATGGGCTTCACCTGGCTCCAGGTGTCAGTTAAGGGGTTGTAGCAAAAGACCTTGTCCGACAGCTTGGGCCGCTGCTCGCCAGGCCCGGCGTTGGAGATCCCTCCGGCTAAGAACAGGTAGTTGTAGAGGACGCACATGGCGCATCCCTTGGCGTTGGCCTCGTCGGGCAGCCGGGTGAGGACGCTCCACTCCTGGGCCGCCTGCTGGTAGCTGTAGAGCAGGGCGCCGGCGCCGTCCTCCAGGGAGACCACCGAGGACGGGCTCTGCGGGCGGCTGCTCTCGCGGCTCTGCGGCCGGCTGCCCAGCCGCTCGAAGGCGTCGCTGACCTCGGCCACCAGCAGGCAGGCCCGGCCGGCCTCCAGNGCTTGAAATAGATCTATACTAGTCTCCCTTTATTTATTTATCAGCACAAATGCAAAACACACACACACACACACACATTTGTAAATGCTGTAACAGTATATACTTTGGTTTTTTCTGTTTTACTTTTCACTTTTTTAAAAGAACTTTTAAATATATAGTTTCTTTTTTTGAACTTATCTGCACTGTAATTACGTTTTCTTCCTTTCCCCCTTTTTTGTTATTATTTTAAAAGCAATAAACATTGCATTCATTCTCATATAAAAGAGAGTGAAGGAATACATGCACTAAGGTCTTTCTGACTATAAGGAAAATTTCTCTGATTAAAAACCTCCCATCCAATACTGCTCATCGGTGAAAACATTAGACTGGGACAAAATAAGAAAAAAGAAAGGGCTGAATAAATCAGATTGATAAAGGAGAATATTTGTAGCTCAGGGTTGAAATCAGATTGAAGAATTAGTTTGCAATTCTGAAAGGTTTCCAGGAAGAAATGGAAACAGCTTAGATGATTTTTTTCCCCTTTCCATTTTGATGCATCAACATCCTGCAGGACGAGCAATTGTAAAAACTTCAATTAAACAGCATCCAAGGCTTTTAAGATATTGTATTTCTGAGTCGCTTTGGAAAGTGAGATAAGCATCTAAATTTAATAAATAAATAGAAAGTTTGGGATATATATTTAAACAGCTTTAATAGTGAAAGACAGGCTTTTCTATAGCTTTTCAGTTAAAGAATTTATAGCTTTTCAGTTAAAAAAAATAAAAGCCCAGGGGTATCTTGGCATTATTATTGGCTTCGGCAGAAATGACTTTTAGATTGTTCCTGCCAAATTCCAGAAGCTTGAGAAATGGATCCAAGATATTTAAAAGCTGGAACTGGTTCTACTTTGTTAATTCCAGTTGCCATTGATGTTTATGGTGGCTAGGTCTTCCCAAGAAATCCATTATTTCAGTCTTGGGGCGATCACTTATATGACTTTCCTCCTTGTAGGTCTGCCAACTTCCCTGAACTCTCACCTGTGTAAGTGAGACAATTGCTGCGTCGTCATCAAATAGTACAGTTGCCAAATGTGTGTCGCTGAGCATGGGGAGCAGGTTGAGATTTTTTTGGGGTGTGTGTGTGTAAAAGTAGCAATCTTTGAGTGTATAAAGATATTAAGCAGCAGAAGAGCCGAACGTGACCCTGGTTCATTCTTTGACAGATTGAAATGTTTGCAGTAAAATAGTCAGCCTCATTGTGCCCAGCTGGGCATTGTGTTTTCATGCAGCATCCTATGACAGTTGGTTGATCAAACATATTAGGTATCAAATAAGAGATCAAACATATTAGGTATCTTCCTACGATGTACAGAAGATATTCCACCAGCGCCTGTATCTCGGGATGGAATTGAAGGTTGATTTTAGACTGATAAAAGGAGAACATAAAAGGCATTGCTGTGTGTGTGTGTGTATGTGTGTGAGTGTGTATGTGTATACCAGTGGTGGGATACAATCGGTATGCCCCAGTACGGGTGTACCTATGCTTGTTGGGAGCACCAGGTATTGTTCTGGTATGGTGCTCCAGAGGGACCACCCGCCCGCCCACTCTCCTTACCTCTATTTGAGCTGATCGGGGATTTTGTGCATGCGCACAGAGTGTATGACGCCTGTGTGGCGCTCCGCCGAGCAGCTGGAGCATCGTGGGTGGTAAGTACGCATTAACGCACTGCATGCGTGCTGAGCATATTCATGTGGTGGACGCCGGGCTCCGTTGCAGCATACCGGTTGCAACAGGATCCGGAACCCACCACTGGTGTACACACACACACACACACACACACACACACACACACACACACACACACACACACACACTTGCAAGTCGACCCAATGAGCCATTGTAAATCTGCCTCGCTAAATCCCAGTGGCTTGTCCGCTATGAATTTCTCCTGTGTCAGCCAGTCCAGTAGCTTGTTGTTCAAAGAACAGACATATACTATAGCTTGCTGGATATGTTCAATGTTCTGGTAATGTCTGTATTGTTGCCTGTCTTAAGGATAGGAACAATTAGAGGCCAATTTGAATCACCTGGAACTTGGAGTGTGCTGCTGATGTGGGAAGGAGGGAAGAGAAGGTGGAAGGCAGGAGGGCAGGCAGGCAGGCAGGGAGGGAGGGAGGGAGGGCAGAAGTCCATTATTCAGCATTTCCCTTTTGTGCTTCAGGTAATATTACTGTCAGGGAATGTTTCACTTTTCCATTTTTTGTTTCACTAGTTTCAAAATAACCAAGTGGGAAATGGGAGGCCATGGAAGGTTGCTATGTATTGTCTCATTTGGAGGACAATCGAGAGGGAAAGAACAACTCCAAAGTATAATATAAAATTTTTGCCTCTAGCAACTAGAATCCTAACCTTTGATTGCTGGGTTCCCTTTTCTGATGAACGGTAATTAGCCTTCAGAATTGAGAGGTATTTTTATTACTGTAGTTTGAAAAAGTTGCTTCTAGTGTTTAGGCAAAGGGACTTTTTTCATTTTAATTAGATTTTGTAATTCTTTTTTCTTCTTCTTGTGAACAAGTTGGATTTTTATCTGTGGAGAGTTGCTCGATCTATGGTCCTTGAAGGCTGTAATTGTGCCCTGCCAGGCCATGTTTTCCATGGGATCCTTGCAAGTCTAAGGGGAGATTTTAGGAGTGGCTGGATGGTGCTTATAAGAGCTGGATGTATGGCTAAGACCCAGTGATGAGTAGTAAAATGGTTTGCTAAGCGACACTTCTGCACATGCATCTGGGTGGGTGGGCGGAGCCTCTCACTGCCGCCACTATCAGTTCGCCCAATTGGGGCTGAACTGGGAGCAACCCACCTCTGCTAAGACCTCTGCTGACCTGAGGTTGATCATGGATGCGCCTAGAGGTTGGAGAACTCTTTTATTAATTGGCAAAAGTTGCAGCCAAAGTGCCCATTTTATGGTCAATTTAATCCAATGACTGATTTCAACTCCACAGACTCCCATCATTAACTGAATGGGATAAATGGTAGCTATAGTCCGGGGGTAATATAATCCAGGGGTAATATCTCCAGGCAGAGACTAATTTGAATATCGGCACCAAACTAAAAAATGGCGTGAAGTCAGGTATAATAAATTGTACTTGACCCCTGGTCTCCCCAATATGTGAGACCTTCTTCCGTACTACCCTTTTCTACACCATTTAAAATACAGAACTGAAACCCACATACCAGGTTAATTCAAAAGTCCCTGGAGTGCCACATCTCACCACCACCACCACCACCACCACCACCACCACCACCACCACCATTTTAGCCATTATCTACCCATTGCAGGATGAAGGCTTCTTCCCCATGTTTCCAACCAATAAGGTCCTGAGCTTTATTTTACCAATAGGACTCACAATATTTGCAGGTGTCGTTGCTCTGTCTTATTTTAGGTCTCTTGTGTGGACGCTTTTTATCAAGTGGGATCCATTCTATGACTGCCTTGGTCCACATACCATCAGTTCTTGCTATGTGACCAGCCCATTTCCATTTCAATTCTTTTACTCTCTTGATGATAATGTCTACTTTCCTTTGTTCTCTAATCCATGTGCAGGTCTTTGTATCTTGTCTTATGATGCCGAGCATGTACTGTATCTGTTCTGACCCCCCTCGTTCCACACCAAAGCACACTGCAAGCCAGAGATAAATTACAGCATTTAATTAACAGACAAACAGGTCCTTAGCAGCACCCCAGCACAGACAAGCTTGGGC